TTAGTTTCTTTCTTTGCTCGTAGTTTGTAGGAGACACAAAAGCTTGATGCGTACCATGCCATGACCAGCATATGACGAGTCGGTGTTGATGATACAGTACGCCGCCGAGTAATCACCCGCAGCGTTCATAGCATCGGAGCCAGTCTTGTCGAGGGAGGTCTAATCCACTCTTTCTTAGCCAATTGACCGGGGGTCTGTTCATCTGGGGCGGCGCAACTTACAGGGAACCTCACGTCCCGGGTGCTGAAGCCAGTGATCTTAACCATGACGTCTGCTCAACACTCACGTTGGAAAGTAGTCTAGACAAGGTCAACGTCAATCCCATATTAACCACGACTTCACTCTCATCGCGCATGGCAATTGAGGAAAAGACGCCACGACAAAACTGACCTCTGAAATGCGGGGGATAGCAATGTAGTCAATTCAATACACCGAACAGTCAATCGGTATACACTCAAGGAACCAAAGGAATCTCAACCCCAGCTGCGAGAGAGAGGGAGAGAGAGAGAGGGAGCAAAGAACAAGAGAAAAGATTCTTAATTACCCCTCCAAGACATGGGGGCAGACAAGCCAGATATACGGCCCCTCAGCGCTCTCCCTCCTCAGGCTAAATCAAGCAATCCAGAACTGCGCGGCGGAACAATTACACTGTCTGCTGCGTCTGGATTGCTCCGCGGTGCGTGGGACTGCAGTGCCATTGGCGGAGGAATTGTCCTAAGCTTTGGTCGGTGTTTATCCGCCAATGATATAATTGCCCATGACCGACGGGCCGCCTCCGCGTATTTTATTTTCTGTATAGGACCATGAAACGGTTCCTGAATACAGTAAGCCCGTACGGTAGGGAACTAAAGGTAGGTACCGTAGTATCTGCAAGGTCACGAGTCTGTTGGCAATTTCTGCGGTTTCAGGTTTGGATCATCTGAGGGCTAGAATTGAACTACGGTATCAGACAGATGAAAGACGAGTAAGAAATGTGATTGGCGTAGCTGTTCCAATGCGACAGTTGGAGCACTAGCGGGGTGTTTACATGCTTGAGAGCATAAAGATACCTCAACCCAGGCTCAATTTCAGTGAGTTTCGAATATGAAGATAAGGGATGGGCAGTAAGGGGACAGAAGAACTATTTGGAAGGACTGTACTCCATGTCGAGGTGGATATCAAATTAGAAGTACCCTATCAGCCCAATACTGCTAGCCCTATCGAACCATCCTATCAGATACAGTATCGATCATGCTGAAAGACCTCTCTTTTCGCTTTCCGAGAAGAAAATAATCATTCGCCACAACTTGCGGACCAGTACTTCCGCCTCTTCATCGAGTGCCTGTAGACAATCGGGTTAGCTTCTGCTGTGGGATCATAATTCGTCTGGGGAATCTCACCTCCTCCAGCTGTTCCACAAGCTCCTGAGGACGTCCCTGTTTCCGGACATGCTCTTCCACCACGTCCACCAACATCTGCTCCTGCACTCCGAGGTACTCCACGATCTTCTTCTCAACAAAAGGCTTGAGCTGTTCTCGCAAAACAGTCTCATCCACAAACTCCCACTTGACATCCCACTTCCATAGTCCTTCCTTGTCGGTGGGGATTTCTGCCGCCAACTGTCGAGCGGCTTGCGCGCGCTCCTCGTCGGAGAGACCGGCCGCTTCGGCAGCGCTGTCGAACTTGATGGGAATGAGGGGTCGTCTGGCGGTCGCCTGGGGCTCTTCTTCGTCCTCCAGCAGTCCTTCCACTTCGGCCACGGTCCGGCGGGTGGTGGCGGCTTGAGCCTTCTGGGCTGCAGCGCCAAGAGAAAGCTTGAAGCGCTGCGGCTCCCTGGGCGCCTGGGTACGTGCCTCCAGCTCCTCAGCTTGGCGCGCGAGGAAGTCGTCCGCCATGCCACGTGCCTGCTCGCGTTGCTGCGCAGACCGAGCGCGCTCTCGTTCTTCGGCCGCACGGTCAGCCTCGTCGTTGCTGATCTCACGAGCACGGAAGGCAGCACGACTCCGGAGCCATGCGCCCCGATCGGCATAATAGTCCTCAACCTTGCGACTGGCCTCGATGTCGTCGTTCCATTCCCGATACCGCCGATCAGCCTCATCGCGAATTTCTTGCGCCTTGGCCTCCTCTTCCTTATCCCGCTTCTTCTCACGCTCCAGAGCCGCAGTCCTGCTCCGCTCGCGATTGAGCCACCGCCGTTCCTGGTCAAGAAACTGCTTCTCCAATTCAGCCTCTCTCTTTCCTTGACGTCGGCGTTCCAGCTCCTCGTCACTCGCATCAGTATCCTCGTCATCTCTATCGGTGTAGACCACAGTCGCACCGTTGATTGCGCCTCCGTTGACAAACGACACTCCTTTCTGGTAATCCTTGGGGATTTGTACGCCGAATCCTTTAGGCCCCGAAGGCGCGTTTGGCATGCCGCGGTCTCGCGGACCAAGGGGCACACCATTGGCGCCGGCAGCAGGTCCACTAGGAGCGGAAGGTGGGGGAGAAGCCAGGCGATTAAGGCGTGGGCCTGCATTTCGTGCTCGCTCCATGGATTCGAGCTCCTCCTCTCGCTTCAAACGTTCAATATCTCTACGGTTGCTGCGCTCTCGGAAAGCTGCAATCTCCTTGGCGACAGTCTCCCTCATTTCAGGAGGAATGTCGGACAGTTCGTCGTCAACCGTAATTGGAATGGTGACGACTTCAGCAGAGGTGCCTTCGGCATCCTTCATTGCGGTGTCTCCTTCACGGTCGATGGCGGAGGCGTCTTCCTTCCGGGTGGGTGAGGTGGGATGGAAAAGCTCGGAGAGAACGTTGGCGAGTTTGCTACGCGCAGCATCGAGCCGCGCCTGATGCTCCGCCGGGTCTTGTTCGCCTCTGGAGTTTTCATACTGCTCCAGATAGCTCAGGGAACTATCATCAACAACCACCTAATCGCAACATGGTTAGATGCGTAAAATGAACCTGTAGGGCGGGTATACGAACCAGTAGTGTGCTCTTTTCCACCTCCTGCTCCTTCTTGTCACCCTCCTCGGATGGCGTTTGTCTCTTGACCGGCACTTCCACGTCCTTTAGTATTTCTACAGCAGTACCGAGACTTTCAGGGTCCTCGTACTCTGCGAAGCCAAACTTGCATGGCTTATCATCAGCATCCGTAGCGCGGATCCACCGCCTGAGGTTCCCAGCGGACCGCAAAATCTTCTCGATGCCCTCGTCGCCGCCAGCGCCCTCGGTAATACCCCCAACAAAGATGGTCCTGACAATCTCTTCCCTCGTCGGAGGCTGCAGCTGCATCATCGCATCTCGTACATTCTGGCGTTGAGACTCGATACTCGTTGAACCCAAACCCGCACGCCTTCCCGGAGCCTCGCCACCGCGTTCCTTGCTCGTGTCCGGAGTAGCTGATTTCGAAGGACCAGACGTCCCAAGTCGGATCACAGGTGCGGAGAAGTTAATGTTGGGCATATTGGGGGGAGGTTGGAAGTTAGGAGGGAATCCCGCAGGTCGACCGGGCTGCGGTATGTTTGCCTGCTGCATCCCCGGGGGAGGAGCGGTCCCCGGAGCTGCCATCCCAGGAGGAGGAGCTAGGATGTATCAGTACACTGAAAGAGATGGAAAGAGACGCGATGAAAGAAAAGCGTATACTGACCCATGCCAGGAGGAGCTCCATAGGCTCCATAGTCAGGAGGCCTGCCATACAGACCTGGAGCTACAAAATTGAGTTAGCACCTCGCACACTGAGGAATCAGAGGCTTCAGAATTGCGCGTATTGGACATACTTTGGTAAGGATTGTACATCACGGCTGGATTCGCCGCTCTGATAGCGACGGACAGGGAAGCTGTAGAAAATATCAATAGCAGCAGAACTAGCTATGCGTTTTGATAAGGAAGAGCAAAACTTGATTAATAGAAAACAAGTAAGGAAGAGCCACCTGCAGCAGATGATAGCTGAGAATGCAGGTCTGAGGAGTAGATCAAGTGCTGCTGCGATCAGTGTCGGAGTCGGCTTGGAGAAACTTGCGATAAAGTCAGTCGTGAAGGCGGTATGGTCCGTGCATTTCCTTTTTAGGCATTAGCCTTTCTTGTGAAGACCCGTATTCTGCGATGATAGTGAATTACTGGAAGCAGTATAGCGTTCCTATTTTGGGGAAAGCGCCTCACTGCCACTTATCATGATGTGTGGTCTATAAAGACATTAATGTTTTTTTCATACCTTCTACAGCAGTAGCAGTCTTAAGTCTTCTTTCTCATAGACAATATAAAACATAAACTTATTACCTTAATAACTCTACCCCCTTTATTGCATACATAGTATTGAATACCACCATACTTGGATATACACTTAAATACGCAGTATCCATTCCAATATCCCTACTCTATGACGATTCGAATCATTCGACATCCGTACTATATAATTAATTTAACATCCTTGCCTTACTTTATGGTATTCGGTATCAGTGAATTGCGTGCAACCACAGAGAGGGCGGGAGTGGTGAGACATAATCATTGCAAAAATACCAAAGGCTATATAGTCCACCGCAACGCCACCTACTACAGTATTCACAGTTTAATCTTGAATCCGCTGCATATCCTTGTTAGTCTAACAACAGAGAATGGTATGTGAATATAGCCCTTCAAGCATAAATATGCCCACAGTCTCTCTTTCTCTTGACCTCTCCTTCCCTTCTCTATACACCGTTTCTCCCGTCTTTCCTGATCTTCATAACCGCCTGTTATCCTGCAAATTCATCACGTCTACTCTATTACTCCTTGATTCATCTCACAGTACCCTCTCTCAACTCTTGACTTTGATTCTACCGCAATGGCTACATACAGGACTGATGCCTCGTCAGAGCCGACCAAACGGTCACACTCATCAGCGTTCCCTGAGCGAGCCGTCCCCCGTTGTTAAAATATATTATACCACTATGACTATGGATATGAGACCCTAGACTGATGAGGACCATGTCCCGGGCGCCTTTTTGGCCTAGTGGTATTATAATTTAAAACCTATTATGATCAGTGATAGGCATAATCTTATGACCGACTTACCACAAAGCTACCAGCTCCGTTCCTTCTCATCGTTCTCCACCCTAACGCAGTTGCAGCTCGCGGTGAAAGCCATCCATGACCAGTTGGAGCAGAACAATGGGCAAGGTAACCAATGGCTGGTTATTATGGGTATGTCACAAGCCGCCATTGACAGGCTGAGCAATAAGCCCGGCTGCCTGCCGGGAATCGCGTTTCGATTTATGTGGATTGGGACGACAGGAATCATCAAAGTAGTCCCATCTATTGCACATGATCTGACCACATCGGGTGTGAGCCACTACATCGACCGGCAGTGCATTCGGATGGGAGTGGCAGACAGTGACGTTGTTTTGGGGACTTGCAGTCACGACACCTGGCACTGTTACTACCCATGGCAAACAGCCGGACAACTGCTTTTTTCCTCCTAACCGCCAGCCTCTAGGTGGCCAGTTCAATGGCTGGCCCTCACTCGTCATAGAAACGGGAGTTTCGGAGTCTTTGGAAAAGCTTCGTCGAGACGCCACTTGGTGGTTTCAGAATTCCTCTGGGGACACCAGAATCGTGATTCTCATCTCAATAAAAGCGGTCACCAAGCAGATCAGGTTCGAGAAATGGCAGCTTGCCCCTCCGAACCTTCCAAGACCTACAAGGCAAGCGATTGCTCAGCTACGTCAGCAGCCCAACCTGATGCCCCCTCTTGTCCAGCAGCAGGCGAACAGCCAAACCGCCTTCTGCCATCAGGAAGTAATCGTTACGCCCACTTCAATTACCGGAGGACCTCTTGTGATCCCTTTCAGAGCCATGTTTGATCGGCAGCCTACGGGAGCTGAAGGCGATATAGTTATCAACAACCAGGGCTTTCGCACCATTACGCGTTTTGTTTAAATGAACCTTGGTTGCCTTCTGCTGTCTATTTCTTTTAATGCGCTCTGCGTTTTCTGCGTTTCCTTGCTATCTTAATGCCTCGGTATAGGTTTTTCCATTGTTGTGATGGTTGTTCCCTCTGCTGTGGTACAAATGTAGAGGCTTGCAATCAATCAGCTTAGAATGACATTTTGACCTAACCCACTAAACCATAAAATAAGTCCGTCAAAAGAAGGTGGTGGTTTTTGGATTGTGTTTGCCCATTGCCAGGTGTCAAAGCTGTTCAGAATACTGTATGCTAGTACACAGACAAAAGCAAAGTCCAACCCACATCTAATCATACTCATGATCGGTCCATTCATCATCCGTCTCCCTCTCCCACAGATCATCCTCGTTGTTCTGCGGCTGCTTCACCGTGGTTGCGTTCTCGATTAACTCATCAATCCCCTCGATGTATGTCAATCGTGGCAATTTCTTGTCCTTCTGCAGATTCTCCAACTGCCTATCAAACACGTCGTCCGGAAGACCCTTAACCTGCGGCTTCATACCCTTCTCGTACCCATAGATACAGAGCGATTTGAGACTTAGTGGGAGATTATCCACGATCGCAAATGATGCATCCTCCACCTGGTCGGCGCCGATTCCTCGAGCCAAGTAGTAGAGGAGGTGGATGCCGAGGCTCAGATTCTTTAGTTCGGTAAACCCACGAAGAGAGCACGGTGACGATCGACAACTGACTGGGTCATCCTTCGCTTCAAGCTCCTGGAGTTCTTCTGCCCACTCCTGTTGATAAATGGGGTGGGATCTCAACGATGGGCCGTCACTGGCAAAGAAAGCTTGTCCTAGGCTGGGGTCGAAGGTCTCGGCCAGTGGTGTTTCTGCCTCCACATCCAAATCCAGATGCAGCAACGAATGACCGTGCAGGAGGAGAGCCCTAAGGACATGATCCGGACTGAATATGCTCAACGAGCCATCGCTCGAGCCTCGGCCACCGACTGCATAGGTAAACTCTTCCAGCCGTTTAGCCGACTCGATGACCTGCACCAGATGATGGTAATCCAAACTGGAGTTTCGAATGGTAATTTTGGTATAATTCGCTGATTGGGGCGGGGGTTCCACACTGGCACTCTCCGTGCCCATAATGGCGTCGACCCGGATGGATTCCACTCCGGGCAGCCGGCACACCAAGTTCAGGCTGCCGTACAGGTCATAGGGCTGGTAATAGAACCAGCGATAGATTCTTGTATCAGCATCGACAAGGAATCGAACCTTGCGAAGATATTGCAGGAATGGCATAGTCTCCGGCGGGCCACTACTCGCACGGTCTAGGAAATGCTTGAAGAAATAATCCGTCTCTCGGAGTGGAGTCCCATTGGCTTGTGCAGTCAGTTTCGACAGCCTCGAAGGTTCCTTGCCGACAGGGCAGAAATTCAGCGATTCCAACAGCGGCGAGACGCTGACCAGCAACGCTGCCAACGCCTGGGCGAGAAACGGGGTTCGCGGGTCATGATGGCTAGTCAAATTCAGGCTCGGGTGTTTTAGAAGTCACTTGCTCTGAGGACATGAAAGCCGCATCATGAGATAGTAGGAGAACAAAGAAGGGTGCGGGAAGGGGGGAATCATACTCCATGCTGGCCGGATTTTGGAGTAGGATGTTGAGCATCTTCTCCTGTTCTTGCGGAGACTCAAAGCCGGCCCGCCGAATTGCTGCGGTCAAGCGCTCCTGGTCTTTTGGTCGGAGGGACCGCTGAGGGGGCTTCACTGTGTACGACTGCACGATTCCATAACCTACCGATGGGGATCGGTTCAGCTCTATATGGCGAACGTACCGCCCATATTGAGGGGTTTTGAGAATCGACCGGAGGATTTTGAAGGCCACAGCCAAATCTAAGGTCTCTCGTAGTTTTACTCGGCGGTATTTGCGCCGAGTGGTCATGTCACAAAGACGATGCCAACGGTGGCATTGTAGAGAGAGCGCTGTCGCATCTGCAGGTGATGGAAGGTAAGAAAGGATGCGCAGGAGAACCTCGTCTGGGAGGGATTGGACAGACATTTTGATAGAACGAGGCGCTGGATATATCCAAACAATCAGCCCACCGGGAGAAAGATTGATACAGAGTCTAGTCGAGAGAAAAGGAGAGGGAGGACAGGATGTTTGATATTATTAGCGTTCCGGATCATAAATAGTTCACTACTAGGTAGTTAGTTAACTAGTTAATGTATTTCCCTACCGAGTCGATCACCTTGTATTCCATATAAAATGGCCGTTTTCAAGGCCTTAATATCTCAATAACCATCTAGTGACTACTCCATACAACTGCACTCTAACAGATGCAGAAGCCTTTGATATTATTCTATAAGTTGATATTCATCCCCTCAGGCTCTGTGAACACATGTACTATATCTAGTGAATTGACGTACTCCGATCAGCCCGCTGGAAGTTCCATACACTCCCAATGACCAAGTATATATATCCCATTGCATATGAGATATTGTCGCCAACACAACTTAAGATACAGATTAATTGCTAATAGTTTACGGGAATGCTAAGACCTTGACAGAAGAAGCTGTCAACGCAGATTCCAATTCCATGAGTCTAGCCAACCAGAAGCTTCCCAGCATCTACGTATGAAGTGTGAGCTCCAACTTACAAACGAGAAGCAGTGGATCAATATCAAACTTTGTCAAGCGATGATCAGGATGTGCAATTGAACCGGTAACAATCAGAACCAGGGTGAAATTGCCATTATGTGCATGATCACCGTTTTAAACTGTCCCTACTAGACTTCTACTGTACTCCTCTACCTATTTAGCCGACCTTCTACAACGGAACCCTCAGGAATCGTGGGGATGCTAGGTATGGAGTCTACTTACAGAACTCTGAGGATTCCCCTCATTAGACTCACCGGCAGACATGTATCTACAGCATCTGGAACACGGAGGCTTCTTGGTCCTGGGGGCTGGGACTATTGAGAAATGGCCTTCGGATTGCTCAGGAAATTTGATGCCGGAGTACAGTCGTCCATCAATAACACATTTCCGAGGAGCACCAGAATTTGCAAGTCACCTGGATAGACCTTGTCAACATCTTCTATTTGCATTATTGCCATTGAGTATTATTATTATCGTGTTCTCCAAGTCTAGAACGCACTGGATTACCAAGAAGACCAGAGGCATTGCAATCAATGTAGGTAAGGTTACTTCGGAGTTGTAATTCCACCTCGGTGGTTCAAATGATCATAGGGAATTCGACACCAAACCCTCATGATAATGGTTTAGTAAACACCAGGAGGTATGATAGACTTTATTACTCAAAGATATATAATCATCTTCCAAAATATTATCTATCCTTCCATCACTCCTGGTCAGTATCTAGTCATAGTCGGATAAATTCAGCGCTGGTCTCTTAAACTCATTTTGTCTGCCCCACGTCAGCCCCTCCAGGCGGACCCCAACAGGCCGATTGACGACATACTCCCTTACTAGTACCTTGGTACTAGGATAGCCATAGCTAAGGTACGTTCCCAGGTTCCAAGCAGGCCAGCTGTTTTTCCGGCCTGCATCATCGCCCTCCCTGCTTCCCGTTTCTAGAATTTCATCAACTCCCTTTCTCTCCTCCATCTATCTATACCCTCAGACTGAATCTGAACTCCTCACATACCTCTCTCCTCTTCTAGGTACGGAATTTATTTATTTGTGCGCGACTCCTCAATCTGCTGCATTCCCTTGTTAATACCCCTCCATCTCCTGCCCCGCACTGACGCAAGAGCTCTCCTACTATAGATCAACTCCGGCTACACAGCAGTCACAATGCCTGGTTTTTCGCAGGCTACAGAGCTCGGTGCCTGGAAGGAGCTCCAGGAGCACCACAACTCCCTCGGGCGCAACATTGTCCTCAAGGAATACTTTGAGAAGGATCCTCAGCGCTTCGAGAAGTTCAGCCGTACCTTCGCCAACCCGATCGACAACACCGAGATCCTCTTCGACTTTTCCAAGAATTTCCTCACTGAGGAGACCCTTGCCCTCCTGGTCAAGCTCGCCAGAGAAGCCGGCGTTGAGGAACTCCGCGATGCTATGTTCAAGGGCGAGCCCATCAACTTCACCGAGAACCGTGCGGTCTACCACGTCGCTCTGCGCAATGTCACCAACCAGCCCATGCAGGTCAACGGCAACAGCGTCGTTGAGGATGTCAACTCCGTGCTTGAGCACATGAAGGAGTTCTCGGAGCAGGTCAGAAGCGGTGAATGGAAGGGTTACACAGGCAAGAAGATCAAGACAATCGTCAACATCGGTATCGGTGGTTCTGATCTGTAAGTTTACTGCTTTACCCTTTACTTTGGGTCAATTCTTTCGCTGAGCCATTGCTAACGCGCCCAATAGCGGCCCTGTCATGGTGACCGAGGCGCTCAAGCCTTATGGCGCCGAGGACATGACCCTTCATTTCGTCTCGAACATTGACGGAACCCACATCGCTGAAGCTCTCAAGCACTCCGACCCCGAGACCACTCTTTTCCTGATTGCTTCCAAGACATTCACCACTGCAGAGACCACCACCAACGCAAACTCCGCGAAGAAGTGGTTCCTTGAATCTGCCAAGGATGAAGCCCACATTGCTAAGCACTTCGTCGCTCTCTCCACCAACGAGGAGGAGGTGACCAAGTTTGGTATTGACAAGAAGAACATGTTCGGTTTTGCGTCCTGGGTCGGCGGCCGCTACTCCGTGTGGAGCGCCATTGGTCTCTCTGTTGCCCTTTACATCGGCTTCGACAACTTCCATCAATTCCTGGCTGGTGCCCACGCCATGGATAAGCACTTCCGCGAGACTCCCCTCGAGAAGAACATTCCTGTTCTCGGTGGTCTGCTGAGCGTCTGGTACAGCGACTTCTTCGGCGCCCAGACCCACCTCGTAGCACCTTTCGACCAGTACCTGCATCGCTTCCCCGCCTACCTGCAGCAGCTCTCCATGGAGAGTAACGGCAAGGCTATCACCCGCACTGGAGAATACGTCAAGTACACCACTG